GCAGCCGCAGCAGCAGCCGTAGCAGCAGTCGCCGAAGCAGCGGCCGCCGCAGCAGCAGCAGTCGCTGTAGGTATCCCCGCCGCCGTGGTGGACTGGCAACGCTGGTGGCGGTGGTCGTGGTGGTAGCGGGCGCACCTCGGTGTCGGGTGGCGGCTCCAGTGCGGTCACCTGCCAGTACCAGCTTCAGACCGGCCCCCGCTGCAGCACCGTCGGCGACCGCCCCGGTCACACAGCTGCCTGCAGCTACACCCTTATCGAGTCTTGACGCGCTTGCCGCTGCCATCACTGACTTCGCCTCTACCCCCCGCCTTGACTACGCCACAGTTCTGATCTCTGACCCTACCCGCCCTCCGTCCGTCGGGGGTGCTCCTGCCCTTGGTAGTGACGTCCTGGAGGACCGGCAGTATGAGCTTGCTTTCCTGTCTGAGGCCGCGCCTCATCTCTGCTCCATGCTGCTAGTCCCTGAGGGGGATCCAGACGCCTTCGACATCCCGACCCCTCGCACTTACACTTACCCCTTCGACATCCCGACCCCTCGACCTCACAACTCTAGGCCTCTCAGTGGATAGCTGCCATGGAGCAGGAGATGGCATCTTGGAGTTCCACCGGGACCTACGTTGACGCAGTTCCCCACCTGGGGTGAACGTAGTCGATGGCCGGTGGCTCTTCAAGGTGAAGCGCCCTCCTAGAGAGCCGCCGGTGTTCAAGGCACGCTACATTGCTAGAGGCTTCAGTAAACGCAAGGGTGTTGACATCTTTCACACCTTCGCCCCGACCGCGAAGATGAATACTCTTCGGGCGTTGTTACACGTAGCAGCACAGCGTGACTACGAGCTGCACTCTCTCGACTTCTCCACTGTGTTTCTTTAGGGCAGTCTATACAAGCAGGTCTACCTGCGTCTCCCACTTGGACTCACCGGCACCTTCGCCCCGGGGACCCAGTGGCTCCTCCAGCGCCCGGTTTACGGCCTACGGCAGGCACCTCGTGAGTGGCACGACACACTTCGTGCTACGTTAGCTGACATGCAGTTCTTTCCGTTGTCTGCAGACGCCTCGCTCTTCGTTCGTGCTGGCCAGACCCCGTTCTACATCCTTGTCTACGTAGATGGCGTGGTCTTTGCTACTGCAGACAGAGACGCAATGGCCTCCGTGAAGGCTGAGCTGCTGAGGAGACACATCTGCACTGACCTAGGAGAGCTGCGCCGTAACCTTGGCGTGCAGATATCCCGGGATAGAGCAGCGCACACCATCACACTCACACCGTCACACTTGGTGCGCTAGGTCCTTCAGAGGTTTGGTCTTCAGTTCTCCTTCGCATAGCCCACACCCCTGCCAGTAGTTCTCAGGCTCTCGGCTCCAGTCTCCGAGGAGTCTGTAGAGTCTAGTGGCCCTTACGCAGAGCTAGTGGGTTGCCTCATGTACCTGATGACTTGCACTCGCCCAGATCTCGCATACCCTCTCAGCATCCTGGCTCGCTTTGTGGCCACAGGCAGACATCGACAACAGCACCGGTCTGCCACTAAGAGGGTTTTGCATTATCTAGCAAGTACATCGGGCATGGGGCTAGTGCTTGGAGGGCACAGGCTAGTGGTCCTTACAGGTCACACAGACGCTTCGTGGGCAGACGACGCTGAGACGCTCAGGTCCTCCCAGGGCTACTGCTTTAGCCTTGGTGCATGCGCCATCTCGTAGAAGTCCACCCGCTCATCGTTTGTTGCCCAGTCTAGCTGTGAGGCTAAGATCTACGGTGGAGCCATGGCGCCACAGGAGCTCCGCTGGCTCACTTTCTTGCTCACAGACTTAGGTGAGCGGCCTAGCTTTGCCCCGGTCATGTACGCTGACAAGAGGGCCATGAGCCTCCTGTGTCAGGAGCCTCAACTTGACGGCAAAGTGAAGAACATCTAGCTGCGGCACTTCCTACTGCGCGAGCTACAGCAGCACCACCAGGCCCGCGTAGTACACTTGGCCTCAGGTGCCAACACATCTGATATCTTTACGAAGGCGCTTGCGCCTAAAGATCATCAGTGGCACTATGTACAGCTTGGTCTAGTTCCAGTAGCTTCACACTTGCTAGGACCTTGATCGTGTACTACTTTTATATTATCTTGACTGGCCTTGTGGCTTTTGTCCCAGTGGGCGGACTAGTAGTACCGCCCTGGGTTGCTCTTGTTTAGTTTGTACTTTTGCTGACTGGTCTTCGGACCCTTGCCTTATTGGTTGGACTAGTAGTGCCACCCTGAGTTGTGTGTCTCTTGCCAAGGACTGCCCCTCATCTAGCCTAGGGGGTGTGTTCAAACATATATATGTGTCTTATAGGCTAGATAGGTGCGTACTCTTAGAGAGTACAATCCCTTAGCACAAAAGCACCTTGTATGTCCCATTCTAGTCGTTCTTTCTCACGTTAACACGTCCTTCCCATCGCCAGGCCATGTTTACCGTGGCGTCGACCTCACAAGTCGCCCTAGTCGTTCTCCTCGTCGTCCTCCTCTTGAGCCGTTCTCTCCGTCCCAAAAAGAAGGGCCGAAAAAGCAACCTTCAACCATCCCCGGGGAGCCCTCGAGGTTACCCTGAGGAGGTAACCCTGAATGCGCATAACAACGTGAGTTTGAAGGGCAGTTGGAGGGCAAGGGTTACCTCGAGTACGCCCTCCAGTGTGCCTGCAAAGTGCCACCCAATCCATAGCACGACGAAACAACAAACTGGTGCCATTCAAAGTGCCGATTGGAGGAAATTGCGCGCCAAAAAGCACATTGTTTATTTTTATATGAGACTGCGGCGTCAAGTCTCGATTAAATGATGCTATATTGTTAGTGTACAGTGCCTTAAAATTATTGGACAACAAAGAGGCGCATGAAATGTGAATGTAACGCATGTGAATGTAACGTATCTGGATGTGTGCCTTAGAATTTATAAAATAATATGCATTCTACACCCAGCCGTGTAAAAAAAAAACACGCATAACACGCTGAGAAAAACACACTATTTGGTTCATTTGCAGATTACGCTACACGCTATCATCAGGGTTCAATCTGCAAATGATGCGGTCAACGTATAACAGCATTAAAACTTTATCCCATATGCAACATGACATCCAAGCACTATAACATAACTTTCAACCGCCATTAGAATCTAGCAACCTACCCCACAACATGGAACCTAAGCTGGAAAAGCCTGCAGCCCTGCACCCAAATAACGCACGTCGATTTGTCAGGGTTAGCAGGTCGCACTTCTGAATCGGCAAGTAGCAAAAGCTTTCGGAAAAAAGAAAAGAAAAGAAAAATCTGAAACGCATTTATGGCGCTATGTCGCAGTTGAGCCCTTGGACAGAGATATGGACCTGCACAGTTAATGACCCTTGGCAAGGGTGACACCCGTGAGAGGACTTTGTGGGAAGAAACTTAAAGTCCGTTAAAAGATTGTGGTTGTTCCTTTTCTGCACAGGTCAGTGTTAGCGTTAGGACAAGCACAGAATCACGTTACCCATAACATGTTACGATTACTCATAACGAGATGCTCAGGATAATCACGATACTCACGATAATCGCGGATTGTGGCTTGAGCGACTAGCGGCACACGACGTTGCTGAAGCGAGTGTCCTTGGCTAGCGCTGTCCTGCGACATAGGTACATGCAACGCAAAGGGGAAGGCAGCGCAATGAGTCAGATGGGAGGCGTTGAGGGACGAACGGGCAGAAGTAAAACAAGGTGGGGGACTTGGGAGGGCAGAAATTGCCAGCAGAAATCAAACGACGAACATCATGAAGTCAAGGTACGTAATGAGGATGAAGGCAAGGGGTACTGAATTGAGGTTCAAGTATTGCGACAGCTGCAATTCCGGAGATGGGAAGGGGACTTTGTCAGCGCCATCATGATCAACGCTGAGTTGTTTAGCGAGTGCACATGGCGAGCGGCGCTTGCATTTCGAAACATACAGCACGGCAAACGTACCTTCACATCAAGATGCGACAGCTGCGCGATATGTGCTGAGCAGGGATGGTTGGCTGACGAGTTGTTACGTCGAAGCCAGACACTCCCAGCAACGGAAATCTTATCCGAAGCTGAAACTTGTGCCTGGCTGGGTTTCAGCTTCGGATAAGATTTCTTGGTTATCGGACGGTTGGTTATACAATTCAGGTATAGCCCTAGACTAGACATGCGCTTAAACGGTAGCATGTTTGAATATATATTATCACCAAAATCCTGGTAATTGCACAACTTTTAAATTTAACAGATACTTAAGTTTTAAATTTGATGGAGGCAATGTAGAGCAAAATAGCCATAGCCATTATTTTAGTTGCTCACGTACTAGGTTTAGGTAATCATTGGTGACATATATAGATGCTGCAAAGCTACAGTAACGTGTTTGATGCGCTGACTCCAGTACCGTACGCCCTTGCCCTGGAAACTTCTCACCAATCAGCGGCGAGAATCTCCCTGAGCAATTCACTTCGCAAATCACGGACGAGCTCGGTGTTTCCGCCAATCACTAGTTTTCATCGTCATCTGTATATAGTTGGCTACGAATTCTGGCGAGCTGGATTTCCCTGATTCACAAATTTTCGCCCCAACTCGGCCAATCGGCGCTGACTGAGTCACGCCCACCCCGCGCACGTATTGTCCCTGGGGGAACCCTGCGTGGACATGTTCACGTTGGCAGTGACCTAGAGGGGAGATTGAGCGTGAGTGTTGGGCGAAGGTGTGAGGTAACCAACAACGGTGGGGAGCTTTCGGGACCCCTCTTTTTTGGGACGTCGAGGTTTAGGCACCTTTTCGTTCATCCTTTGTACGTGTTTTTAGCACCCTTCCACGTGTGATTGCTCAACCATGCAGGAGAAACAGCAGCAGAAGCAGAGCTCAGCACGGGAGGCGCAGCCTCAGCCGCCGCGGCAGCAGCCACCGCAGCCAGTGCAGTAGCAGCGGAAGCCGCTCCACGCGCACCACGAGGCGCATCACGAGCTGCCGCTCACTCATGCCACGTCAGATTGGCCCGGTCGAGTGGTGGTGGAGGGCGAAGTCGTCACGCCATTCCTGGAGAAACAACATGGGAAGATCGTCCTGCCGGCCCAATACGCTGGAACTGCTGGCCGCGGTTCATCTGAGGCAGGCTTATCCGAGGGCGGTTTGCCCAACGGAGGAGGATAACTCAGGCCTCGCCATCCTGCCAGGGAGGATTTGGAATCATTGGAGGAGTTTAAAGTGGTGGGGAAGGGCGGGAAGCTAAGTTGGGCCCTAACGTTTTTTAAGGTACCGTAATTGCAAATAAACACAATGATTTACGATTTCGTTTACAAACGCTAACCAATGCGTTAATCCATGCCATGTAGCTGAGAAAAAAACATAATGAATAATGAATAAAAAATAAATAAAATAAAAAATAAAAATGGTTCATCATGACGCTGTCTAGGGACACCAGCGAGTCATCAGCGTGCCTCTCTGAAGTAGGGCATGTAAATGAGCAATATAGTGATATGTTTGCTGGGGGGGAATCGTGTTGTGAAAGGGAGGGAGGGCGTAAGAGGGGTTATTGCGGGAGGTTGCTGCACAGAATGGGGAATTCGTGTTCTAGAAGTTCACGGAACTTCAACAAGAAAACTCTGCGTTGGAATTCCATGCTCATTGGAATTTTGCTATGGTGAAATTCCCACTGGTTTGTTTTTCTGGGCAGCCTGGATTTTTTTTCAGGCTGACCGTAAACGTTAGTTCAAAATAGAGCAACCATTTGTAAGCGTAAAAAGACTACGTAAACGTTCGAAAACGAAAAACACCGTAAACGTCAGATCCAACTTAGGCAGGAAGGTTAAGGAGGGTGACAAGGGCGAGCCGGTAGAGCTGCAGACACGTGGCGTGCAGGGATTGGCGGAGGGGGAGGAAGGAGCTGCAGCGGCAGAGACTAAGGGAGAGGAAGGGAAAGGACATGGGAGTTACCTCTGGAGCTGGGAAAGAAACGGGAAGGAAGGTGGGATGGGAGGGATGCAGAGTGCTTCTGAGTCAACCGTCACCCAGGAAGAGGGAAGGGCATGGACTTGCTCTCGGAGCTGTGAAGGAAACAGCGGAGAAGGTTCTGGAGATGCACATGGAGAAAGCAGGAGGGAAGCTGGCTGGAGAAAAGGCAAAGGCAGGGGCGGAGGGGACGGAGAGGGCTGGAGAAACGAAGAAAGAGAGACGAGGGGCGGAAGCTGAAGCTGTCAGGGAAGAGGTGGATAAAGGGGAGACAGCGGGCAGGCGCACTGGTTCAGGGGTGGGTGGGAGGGGCATTGAGGCGCAGAAGATGGCTGGTTGGCAGGCAGAGAGGGGCGGGGAGTAAGTGAAAGGGCTGGAAGAGAGGGCGGGGAAGGGGGAGACAGCAGGTGGACGGGGGATTGAGGAGACAGCGGGCTGGCAGGCGGAGAGGGGCAGTGAGGAAGGAAGGGAAAGGGTTGGAAGAGAGGGTGAGCAGACTGGAGGAGAAGGTGGGGAAACTGTCGCTGGGGAGGGAGGGGGGGCAGCAGAGGGAGAAGAGCGAGAGGAGGGAGGAGAGCGAGAGGAGGGAGGAGAACGAGAGGAGGGAGGAGAGCAAGAGGAGGGAGGAGAGCGAGAGGAGGGAGGAGAGCGAGAGGAGGAAGGAGAGCGAGAGGAGGGAGGAGAAAATGATGGAATTTGTGTGAGTAACAAGGGTGAGGAGGAGGGGGTGCGTGGTCTGGAGCAGGGGCTGCAGAAACTGTCTATTTCAGACATGGGGGGAAGAGAAGGCAGGGTGGAGAGGGAGGGAAGGCGACGGAGTTCGGGGAGGGAGGGGATGCAGAGAAGCCTCTGGTGGGAGAGCAGCAGGTGCGAGGGTTGGAGCATGGCGTGGGGAAGCTTTCGGTTTACACAGAAGGGGGTGAGAGTGGTGGGAATAAGCAGGGTGAGGGGGGCAAGGAGGGCAGTGGAGAGGAAGGGAAGAAGGCAGAGGGCAGGGGAATGATGGCGTCTGCTTAGAGCAATGCCACAGGGGCCATTGGTGACACTGTGAATGTAGGTTTCAGGTCGTCAGCATCAGTCCTAGGTACCACGGGAGTGGTGTTGATAGGGCTATTGAAACAAGATTTCTTGAGATGCAGTCAGACCGGGAGACAACAAAGCCATTCCTGTTAGTGCTGAGCCGTCTTCCTCATGATCCATGAATATTGATCTCATTTTTTAATTTCCTCTCCAATCCTCGTTGCCGTATGTGCTCAAATGAGCTTGTTTGTTATTACCAGCCTTCATTGGGGGTTTTTGTGTTCTTTGTTCAAGGCTGTCTCTCCCTGCATCTCGACTGAGTCCCATGCGATTTTCCCTGCTGCTTACTCCATCTCGTTCACCCTCCCCCTCTTGCATGCCCCTCTTTCCACCCTGTCAGTTTCCTCTCTTCTCTCAAACTCTCAACTCCCTAGCTGGCTTCCCTCCCAGCACTTAGGATGTGCCCACATGCATGGGTAAGGAAGGTCAAACGGCAGATGGCAAGGCGGCAGGCGGATTTTGTGGGGCCTGCCCCAATTTCCCCCCCAAGTATCCCCCCCCCTCCCCCCCGTATCTCAGACGCTCAGCTCCCTCGCTGGCTTCCCTCCCAGCACCGGGGATGTGTCCACTGGCATGGGTGAGGCGCATGGAGCAGCTGAGAGCAAAGCAATGGGTGAGTGAGAGTGTGGGTTATGGGTTTGGGTGAATGAGGAGGGTGTGGGTACGGGTATGGAAATGGCATTGGAGAAGGCATTCAGGATATGCCCACAGCCACCACTGGACGGGGTGACTTTTGAGTCAGCTCAAAAGCCACCGGACGGAGAGGAGTGTGAAATGGGGGTAGGTGGCAGCAGTGCGGGGATGGGGATGGAAATGGAGGAGGTTGGGGGGAAGGAGGGGGTGGAATTGCTTTTTACCATAGATTGAGTGCTTGTATTGACTTGTCAGACATGTTTGTCATCTGAAGTGACACGCGCATCATGCATACGAAGTGACGTGACATGTACATCGGTGCTGGTATTGACTTATGTTCCATTGGTGATTGCAGCTGGTGGAGGCACACAAGAGGGTATGATGCATACCCAAGAGGAATGAGGAATGAATTGGTCCAGGAAGAATGCGAGATGATATTGCAACATTTAGATCATTCGGATGCGTACATTTAACATCCACGATAAATAAACTCAACTTCTCTTCCGTGCCTGTCTGTTTTCGCAGGCATGTCCGCATACGGTAGGTGTTAGCTTGTTTGGTGCATCAGCATATATTGCATGCTCGTTTCGCGGATAAAATGAAGACACGTTTGATCGGTATGGTAAAATGGTATAGGGCAGCCACAATGGAGAAGGCAGTGCTAGCTTTTGATGAATACAAAAGGAAATAGCGAATTGTCAGTGAAAGGAGCCCATTTTGCCTGGCGTGGTTGATTGATCAGTTTGCCAGAGCTAGCGAAGAGTCCCATTTTTGCTCCGCCTCCCCCCAAGCCACGGCAGATCTAGTTTCCCCCCATGGACATAGGCATAGTGCAGCCAAGCACCTGTCGACAAACGCTGTAAGGTGAAACCGATGAAGATCTTGGGGATTGACAGCTAGTCTGGGGATTGATGCTAAGGTCTCACTGATGCTTTTGATCCCTGACAGTCATGTTAAGGAAGTCTGTTTTGGCTCTGATCGTGTTTCTGAGGAGGAAGCTATCGGCAGAAGTCATGAGTACGACAACCTTCCAGGAGATGCGGCCGACTTACCTGTCCAAGAAGTGGTTCGGAAGACTCAAGGTCACCTTTGCGCAGTCGACAGATGTAGAGGTGGTTCGGAAGCATGATGTCGAGCATACTGGTCAGGATGGTGTGCGGCTGGTGTTGGGATGGTAGCATCCCATCAACCTCGCTTTCCTCCTGGCAAAAGCAGAATCTCCGGAGGTGGTAGAGGTGCTGCTGAAGGGCATCCCAGCTGAGCTCACTCCCGCGGATATTCAGAGGCTGTTGGTTGATGCGATCCTGGTCAGTCGTAAGCGGATTGCTTTCTTGAAAGGTATCAGCTTTCATCGTGTAGCAGACCCAGTCTTGGGGCTTGGGACGGATGTGATTCGTGGTCTGGTGATCCCGCACCACGCTGATGAGTATCGATGACGGCACTTGATCAACGATCCGTTCAACAAGGGGAAGCATTTTCTAGTACATTAACCGTCACTAACATGTGCTCTCTGCAGTGATCAGCACATGGACAAGCTTCATGATGAGTACGTTCAGGAACGGCAGAACAACATTGACAACTGGCACCTGACGCTGAGCATCGTGCATGAGATCAATGGTATATGGAGGGTGGGGTGTTTTTCCTACCTGTCTGGTGATTCAGTTTTCTTGCATACCGTGGCTGACTCTCACATGTACCGCTTACCGCGCAGCGGCCTCCCTGAAAGACACAAGGAATGCGAGGAGGATTTTAAGGGACCCGGCATTAGCCCTTATTTCGACGAACGTCAATCGGGAGCAGTGGCTATTGTTCATGAGGGATGCGACAAGTGTAATGGTCTTACTTTCAAGCAAGCTGCCGAGCATATCAAGTCTTTCCGTCACGGCTCCCTCATCGGCAAGCAAGATACTGCGACGTGGCTCTCCAAAGGCAAGCTGAGTCTGAAGGGGGTGAAGAAGATGTATGGCATCCGTGCGGAAGCGTCAACCTGATGGCAGGATTCTTCATACCTGTGGTCGTCCGGCGGCGTTCTGGACCTGGTAGCAGGAGTTGCACACAGATGATGGCATCGCCTCACAAGGCAGAGGAACTTTATGCATCTGTTGTCAATTGTTCAGGATAGATAGGTCATTGTACTTACCCTTTTATAGTAGTCGGTCGCTAAGTCACCTACCCTCTGGCCAGTGGATGCTCTTGGGCCATCAAGCTGTTTTCATATGAGTACGACAAAGTAGCATCACGATCTGTGAGCTGAATGTCAATGGACTATCCAGCTCTGGAAAGTAGGACTTTTGTAGGAATTGGTTTCGGAAGGCAGCAGACATCGTCATTTTGACGGATATGAAGATTCCGGAAGACCATAATTTCTGGACCGAGGTGGCGCCTTGTTCGCAGGCAGTCTCACCTGTGACGAAGGTTGGCGGGGTAGCGATACTGTGCTTCTCGGCGGAGATCACGTTGTCCGAAGTGGTAGCTGACGCGTCCGGCCGTTGGTGAGAGCCAAGGTGCTCTGGAGGAGCCTGGATTTTGTCCTGGTAGCGGCATATTTCCCTGCTCAAGCGGTAGACAGAAGCAGCTTTTACAGAGACAGTTTAAAACCTTTTATCAACGCCATAGGGACGGCTCATTCTCTGATCCTGGTGGGAGATCTTAACATTGTAGAAGACCCGGGCCTTGACAGGTCGTCCGGAGCTGGCTGGGGGGGGGGGGGGAATGATAGATTATTGTCGATATGTAATGGCTTTGACCTGCATGATGTGTTCAGGGTGCTGCATCCGACCAGGCAAGAGTACACATTCTACTCACAGTCATTGCAAGCCAGCTCAAGGATCGACAGTATCTTACTGTCGGTCGCATTGCTCCATCGGATCACGGAGGCGGGGCACGTTACGCTGCCGAAGTGTGTGTCGGACCATTCCTTCATGGTCAAGACATGCATCAAGGCGGAGGGGAATGAGGTCAGGGGTCCTGGTCTGTGGCGTCTACCGGCATCACAGGTCATGCGACCCGGGGTGCGTAGTGTTGTCACTACGGTATCCAGAAGGAACAAGGAGTCAGGAGGAGATGATGTCTCGCTGACAGCAAGGTTGAGGACTGGATTGAGATCGTACGCGAAGGAGGAAAGGAAAAGAGTAGCGGCCACCACTAGTCATCGGGAGTGAGAGGTAGGGGAGGTGAGAGACTCTTTCATGCAGCGGTCGACAGATCTGCAGCTACAAAATCAGTTGCAAGCGAAGGAGATACTTCTCAAGGCGTACTACGATAGCCAAGCGGATAGACTAAGGCTTCAAGCGGGGATTGCAGCAAAACTGAGTGGGGAGATTCCGTTGAAGTACCTTTCAGCGAAGGCGAAAGCCAGGAAAGCTCGAACGTCGATCACTGAGGTACAATACAAGAGAAGGGACTATGCGGGTACGAGGGAAGTACTGGAAGCAGCGGCGGGGTACTTTACAAAGGTGTTTGGAGAGAAGCAGAAGCAGCAGGGGACGCTGATGTGGGAGCTGGAGCCAGGAAGGCGACTCTCAGAAGAGGATGCAGTGCAGCCGTGTGAGCTATGGAGCGAGAAGGAGGTGCGACGGGCTCTCGCGGAGATGACGGAGAACAACTCCCCAGGAGCAGACGGTCTACCGAAGGAACTCGAAGTCACACTGGGACCTTCTGGGGGAACAGGTCATGGGGCTGATCAAGAGCTTCACCCAGTCGGCGGAGATGTCATCCGAGGTCACGACGGCTGTAACGGTGTTACTGCACAAGAAAGGTCCGACGGATCAGTTGCAGAATTACCATCCAATCTCTCTACTCAACACATCGTATAAGGTGATGGTGAACAGGGTAAAGAATCTGCTGCACAAGGTCATCTCGGAAGGACAACACGGATTCTTACCAGGGCGGCGTTTGGCGGATGCGGTGACTGTGGTTGCTGACGCCATTGATGCAGTGAAGAATGGCAAGGAGAATTGGCTCCTGTTACTGGTGGACTTTCAGAAGGCATATGATACGGTCCCCAGACCGTATTTGTTTGAAATCCTGAGGAAGATGGGCTTCCCTGGTACTTATGCTTGATGGGTCGAGGGACTACACCGGGGGGCTGTGATGAGAGTGTACGAATGGGTGGATGGGAGAGGAGATTGCGGTGCAAGTGGGAGTCCAGCAAGGCTGCCCGTTGGCACCTCTTCCTTTGTGCTGTGGAGCCATTATGTCAGGAGGTGAAGCGGAGGAAGATAGGCATCGGAGCCAAGGGGGGGGACAGGTTAGCATATCTCGGATATGCAGATGATACAACTTTCCAGCTCCGGGGGAAGTATCAATTGGAGCAGGCGGCGGAGGTCCTGCAGGAATTCGTGAAAATGTCTGGGCTGAAGACAAATTATGACAAGTCAGTTGTCATTCCCCTTGGGGCGAATGTGAACCTTCCGCCTTTTGCAGAACCACCTGTTTAAGTGGGCATCGCCGGCGGAGCCAGAGCGGTTACTGGGGGTCTGGATCACCCTGGATGGGTCGGTGGAGCCCTCCTGGAAAAAGGCATTAGAGAGGATGGGAGGGGAGTTAAGGAAGCTGGAGACTACAGTAAGTACCTGATGACAACGGCGAGGGTTGCGATAGTCAACAGCTATGTGATGCCGATAGCGCTATTTCAAGCACAGGTCTATCCCCCGCTGGAGGGGATCTGGACTAAGGTGCGGAAGCTGTGCCACAAGTACGTATCGGGAGGGAGAGCAAATGTTGAGAAGGGCTTCATCATGTGGAGTCAAAAGCTGATGTGCTGCAGGCGGAAGGAAGGGGGTTTGGGGGTGGTGGACCCCAAAGCAAGAGTGGGAGCCTTGGCGTTGAGGAAAGTGGGAGCGCTACACAGTGAAAAAGATAAGCAGAAGGTATGGATCGCAGAGTGGGCGGCTAATCTTCCGCTCGGTTCTTCGACCTTCTTCGCGCACCCGGCGTTGCTGAAGTACTGGGAGAATGGGGGGAGGAGATGAAAGGCGACAGCGAACTTTTCATGAGATCCCCCATGTCAAATCCGACGGCGGCAAATCGATGGGAACTGGAAGGGGAGCAGGTGGCCTTCAACAAGCACATCCTGTATAGGGGGCATACACTTTTCGGCAGCCAACTGGGTACAGAGAAGCTACGGAGGATTACAGTGGGAGACCTAGTTTCTAAGAGGAGCAATGGAAGCAGGGATTTGAAGAAGACATGGGAGCTGGTGAGAGAACTTGGGAGCGTAACGACGGCAAAGGCAGCAAAGCTAGCGTTTGAGGCATTACCAGAGGAGTGGAAGCGGTTGCTCTTGATCCAACTGCAGGCAGAGGGTGCGTATAACTTCAATAGTTGGAAGGTGGGAGCCAAGGGCAGCCAGCTACTCGATATGGAGAATAGTACGGTCTGAGGGATATCTGCTGACGTGTGTGAGGGTTAAGGCGACGTACGGTGCGGTGTTATTGGAGGAGGTACCGGTGGTGTCCATAAGGATGGCTGCGAGTGAGGCGGTACCGATGTGTGTAAAGGAAGGGGTGCTGATAGGGGTGATGGTGGATCCCAGAACAAGAATGAAAGCTTCGGAGTGTGTGTGAGAAGAAGAGCCTAGCTGCGCTGAAGAAGCTGACACATACCCTAACCACAAAGGTGGGGGAGCTGAAGCAGCAAGGGGCCTGGGAGGAGACGTGGGGGAGGAAGATCAACTGGAGGAGAGTCATCAACTGGAGGGACTCATTGTCCATGCCGAGCAAAGCGAGAGATGTACTGTTGCGGATACACTGTCACAATCTACAGGTGGGCAATAGACTGAAGTTCTTGGGGAGCCGTGCGTGCTGCCCGTACTGCAAGGGGGATGAGGACACAGCACATGCACTTTTTAAGTGCGCAAGGATTCGACCGGTGGTGGAGGCACTTAAGGCGGCTCTGCATATGTTGAACCCGGGGAGGACTGTTCGGTCAGTGGGGGATCTACTATTTCAAAAAGGGGCTACCAAGTCCGGGTTTCCAGAAAATACGGTTGCAGCAGTTGCATTGCATCATATCTGGGTGGAGCGGTGTCATGCGGTGTTCCGAGGCAAGCGGTTTCATGCGGGGAGGGTGTTGAGGCAGGTCGGGGCGGAGTTCAAGCTACATGCAAGGACGTACAACGGCATCCAGCTCAGGAAGAGATAAAGGGGAAGGATTGAAAGCCAGGGGACAAGGTGGGATCACCAGGACAAGGATGAGGACATGGTGCTTCGCAGGATACAGTATGTGTCAGAGGGTCCAGTCTGCTGATGTGGAATAGTGGGTTCGAGTCCATTTGGAAGGACCCCAAGACCACTTTTCAGCCACCGTAGCCGCTCACAGTGGGTGGTGCACCACACCATACCCCCCCTCAAGAACCAGTCACGACTGTGGTTTCCTTGCATTGTTCTTTCAATGTATGGTTCCTATATATATATAAAAAATCCAGTCTTAGAGGCTTGTGCGACACTGATGAAGGTCTAGCAGGACTTCATCCCTAGTAAGGCCGACAAGTTGCCCAACTGGTCGTCCGAAAATCATCGCATCAACCCAGTTGCTACTTCATCAAGGCCTTCGGCTAGGAGCCGCACAGTTCCATTTCTCTCGAAATCCGCATGTCTTCACTCGCACGAAACTGCCTTCCTTTTCGATCCCTTACTTCCACCTCGCCCGACAACAGGTTTCCGGCAGCAACTGTTGTCCCATCATTGATCCCCCCTTGCATCAGGAGTTGCTATCTCCTGTCCGGTACAACTATAATTTCGTCATCAATCCATCGCACCTCAGCCGATGAATTCCATCCATCGACAAGTGTAGTGACTCAAATCAGTCATGAGCCCACCAGTTCCTTGCTTTCACTGCCATCGCTCTCGCTGCTGTCGCTCTCGCTGCCGTCTTTCCCACTCGGGATTCCCAAAGATCGACCCGATCTTGTACTGCCGCCCCCCGACTTGGTCGGCCCTTGTCTCGCAGCACGGCGTCATCACTTCAGTGCTTCTATAACGCCGGCGACTCGCTGCGGGGACGGTTATTAGGCGGCGACCGGCCTCACTGGGTTTGGCCCGTGCAGAGAGCCACGGCAGGGCGTGGGGAGGGAAGAGTGTGCGCGCAGCAGTGCGCGTGTGGGAGCGGAGAGTGCGTGGAGAGTGGGATGGAGGTGCGGGAGGATTCTGAGCAGGGGAGAGAAGAGAGGGAAGCGGTGGAGGTGGGAGAGGAAGAGGGGGAGGAGGAGGAAGAAAGGGTAGAGGGAGGGTGGGAAAGGGAAGCAAGGGAGGAGCAAAAATGGGAGGAAAGGGAGGAAGGAGAGGTGGACAGGGAAGAAAGAGAGGAGGGGGATGAAAGGGAGGAGGGGGAGGTGGAAGTGGAAGATCGGGATGGAGAGGAGGGAGAGGCTGAAAGGGAGGAGGGAGAGGATGAAAGGGAGGAGGGAGAGGATGAAAGAGAGGAGGGAGAGGATGAAAGAGAGGAGGGAGAGGATGAAAGTGAGGAGGGAGAGGATGAAAGAGAGGAGGGAGAGGATGAAAGAGAGGAAGGAGAGGAGGATGAGGATGAAAGAGAGGAGGGAGAGGAGGAAGAGGATGAAGAAGTGGAGGGAGAGGAGGGAGAGGATGAAAGAGAGGAGGGAGAGGAGGAAGAAGATGAAAGAGAGGAGGGAGAGGAGGGAGAGGAAGAAAGAGAGGAGGGAGAGGTGGTGGAGGTGAAAGAGGAGGAGGAGGCAAGGGTACTCAAGTGGCCGTCAGCTATCATTCCTTGGCGCGCAAAGCGGCTGAAGCGGGGAGGAACAACAGTCCCTCGACAGTAAACAAGTGGAGGGCTACATGGGCATCATGGGCACCATGGGCATCGGCATCATGGGCATCATGTGCATCATGGGCATCATGGGCATCATGGGCATCATGGGAATGATGGATCATGGAATCCCGAGCACCCTGCCGGCAGACGTGTGGCTGCGCATCGCATATGAGGTAGAGGATGACAGTGCCTGCTGCTCCTGGCTGCTCGTGCCGTGCGCCATCGCCCTGCTGTGCGTCCGCTATGCTCCATGCTGCTAGGCCCTGAGGGTGATCCAGACGCTCTTGACATCCTGACCCCTCGCACCTACGCTGAGGCAACTTTGGGACCCTGGGCCTCTCACTGGATAGCTGCCATGGACGTGGAGATGGCATCTTGGAGAGCCACCGGCACCTACGTCGATGCAGTTCCCCCACCTGGGGCGAATGTTGTGGATGGCCGGTGGCTCTTCAAGGTGAAGCGCCCGCATAGAGAGCCGCCGGTGTTCAAGGTGCGCTACGTTGCTAGAGGCTACAGTCAGAGCGAAGGTGTTGACTTCTTCCAGACCTTCGCCTTAACCTCGAAAATGACCACACTTAGTGAAGGCCGAGCTGCTGAGGAGTCACACCTACACTGGTCTAGGAGAGCTGCACCGCTACCTTGGGCGGCAAATCTCCAGGGACAGAGCAGCGCGTTTAGGGTGAGCGGCCTAGCTCTGCCCCGGTCCTGTATGCTGATAACAGGGCCATGATCCTCCTGTGTCAAGAGCCTCTACTAGAGGGCAGGACGAAGCACATCCAGCTGCGGTACTTCCTCATGCGCGAGCAACAGCAGCGCGGCCAGGCACGCGTAGTACGCTTGCGCCTAAAGATCATCAGCGGCACTGCTTACAGCTTGGTCATGTTCGAGTAGCCCCTCATTTGCTAGGACCCTGACTGGTGGAAAGCTTCTTATATTTTCTTGACTGGCCTTGTGGCTCTTGTCTCAGTGGCAGGACTAGTAGTGGCGCCCTTAGTTACCCTTGTTGAGTTAGTACTCTTGTTGACTAGTCTTCAAACCCCTGCCTCAGAGGTTGGACTAGTAGTGCCACCCTGAGCTGCATGTCGTGTGCTAGGCATGGCCCTTTGTCTAGCCTGGTGGGTGTGTCAACTTATACATGTGCATTGCATGTATTTTTATAGGCTAGATGGGTTCGTGCTCTTAGGGAGTACAATACCAAACCCTTATATCACCCTGTATGCCTTGCTAAAGCTCTCTTCGCTACTTTGACACCCTTCCCCTCCCCCCCCCCCCCTCTCATACTCTTCAGCCCCCTTCTCCAGTTCTCTCCAGCCTTGTGCCTTTTTTCCCATTTACATGGACTCGTTTCGACAATCTCGACCACCCCTCTCTTTCGCCCCCTCAGCCCATGGCCCATGGGGTCTGCTATTTAGGGCGGTACTGCTGCCTTTCCTCCCCTGCTTTTAATCTGACTCAAACGCCATAAAACGCCCCACGGCTTCTCGATTAGCAATGGGGTCCCGTATTGAGAGCACTGCTCCTAGCATCCGCGTCCCTGTCTTTTCATTCTGCTCAACCCCCCCCCCTCCTCCCCCCTCCACCCTCCATCACCCCCACTCCTCTCTCTGCAACAAGCCCTCACCTACCCCCGTTCCCTTCTTCCCCCCCCATCACCCTCATCTACTGCAGGCCATGGATTTGGCAGCTGAAAGTGCTGCTGCTGACATGGCAGGGCTCAACATGGACGCTCCTCCCATCGGCTTTCCCTTGGGCTCCTCCTCTTTGCTTCTAGGGACAGATGAATCGCAGCTAGGCATGGCTGCTCTGGTTGCAGGGGAGGCGGGGCCTGGCAGAAGGGAGGAATCCAGCTAGGCCTTCCTCCTCCAGCATGGATGCTCCTCCCATCGGCATTCCCTTGGGCTCCTCCCTCTCTGCTTCTAGGGACAGATAAATTGCAGCTAGGCATGGCTGCTCTGGTTGCAGGGGAGGCGGGGCCTGGCAGAAGGGAGGAATCCAGCTAGGCCTTCCTCCTCCAGCAAGGATGCTCCTCCCATCGGTATTCCCATGGGATCCTCCTCTCTGCTTCTAGGGACACATGGATCGCAGCTAGGTGTGGCTGCTCTGGTTGCATGGGAGGTGGGTCCTAGCAGAAGGGAGGAATCCAGCTAGACCTTCCTCCTCCAGCACGGATGCTCCTCCCATCGGCATTCCCTTGGGCTCCTCCTTGCTACTGCCTGGGACGGGTGAATTGCAGCTAGGTGTGGCTGCTCGGGTTGCAGAGGAGACACAGCCTGAGAGGGGGGGCCGATCCAGTTCCCGTGAAAGTTATCCAGTATTCCCCTGCGCACATAATTTGCAGCACGACTCTGCTGCTCTAGTTGATGCAGAAACGGGGCCTGAAACGGGGGAGGGGCCCACTCCCAGTTAAACGCATGCGACCTGACTGCCTCCAGAATCCAGACAGAGACACACGAATACCAGACAGCTACTGCATGCCCCGCTGCACTTGTTGTGGGAGGAACGAGGCCTAGCAAGGGGCAGTGACCTCGCTAAGCATTGGCATTCCTCCCCTAAGCACCGAGGCTCCTCTTTTTGGCTTTCTCATAGGCTCCTTAGGGCTAGAAGTTGCTGCTGCTGGATCTGATTGGCAGGCATAATGCCGAACCTGAAGTCTGAAAGAGATGGTGCTATGGAAGGCATCACAACCAATCGAGTTATGATACTAATCTGGCATGTAGTGTATGAGGATTAGGATGTCGCTGATCAGCATATAGTCATATTGTTAGCGTAATGAAGTGAACTAGACAAGGGCATACAAGGGGTCTTATGCTTTGGTGTTGTACTCTCTAAGAGCATGCACCTATCTAGCACATAATAACAAATATATATAAGTTGACACACCCCCTAGGCTAGATAAGGAGCAGTACCTAGCAAGAGGCATGCAGCTCAGGGTGGTACTACTAGTCCAACCTCTGAGGCAAGGGTCTAAAGACCAGTCAGTGAAAGTACAAACTAAAAAAGAGTAACTCAGGGCGACACTACTAGTTCAGCCACAGGAACAAGAGACACAAGGCCAGTCAAGATAATATAAAGAGTGGTACACGATCAGGGTCCTAGCAAGTGTGAAGCTACTGGAACTAGACCAAGCTGTACACAATGCCGCTGATGATCTTTAGGCGCTAGCGCCTTAGTAAAGATATAAGCTGTGTTGGCACCGGAGGCCAAGTGTACTACGCGGGCCTGGCGGCGCTGCTGTAGCTCGCGCAGGAGGAAGTACCGCAGCTGGATGTGCTTCCCTTTGCCCTCTAGTCGAGGCTCCTGATACATGAGGATCATAGCCCTGTTGTCCGTGTACAAGACCAAGGCAGACCTAGGCCGCTCACCTAAGTGAGTGAGCAAGAACGTCAGCCAGCGGAGCTCCTATGCCACCATGGCACCAGCGTAGATCCCAGCCTCACAGCTAGACTACGCCACAAAGTGAGCTAGGATGCTGAGTGGGTATGCGAGATCTGGACGAGTGCAAGTCATCAGGTACATGAGGCAGCCCACCAGCTCTGCGTACGGACCACTGGGCTCAACTGACTCGTCAAGGACTGGAGCCGAGAGCCTGTAATGTATTGGCAGAGGTGTAGGCTGTGCGGAGGAGAGTTGAACGCCGAACGTCTGAAGGACCTGACACACCAAGTGTGACTGCGTGAGAATGATGGTGTGCACTGCTCTATCCCTAGAGATCTGCAGCCCAAGGTAGTGGCGCAGCTCTCCTAGGTCAGTGCAGGTGTGTGTCCTTAGCAGCTCAACCTTCACGGAGGCTAGTGCATCTCTGTCTGCCATAGCGAAGACCAGATCGTCTACGTAGACAAGGATGTAGAACGGAGTCAGGCTTGAACGAACGAAGAGCGAAGGGTCTGCAGACAACGGGAAGAACTGCAGGCCAGCTAACATAGCATACAGCGTGTCGTGCCACTGACGGAGCGCCTACCGCAAGTCATAAACCGGGCGCCGGAGAAGCCACTGGGTCCCTGGGGCGAAGGTGCCAAAGAAGCTTGGTGGGCGGTGCAAGTAGACCTGCTCATGCAGACTGCCCTGAAGAAACGCTGTAGAGAAGTCGAGGGAGTGCAGCTCATAGTCACGCTGTGCTGCTACGTGTAGCAGCGCCCGAAGAGTAGTCATCTTCGGGCTCAGAGGGGAACCAGGGCCGGCGGCGAGGAGGCGGTACGGTGACACGGCGGCACGACGGCACGGCGAGCTGGGGCGGCGCGGCTCGGCAAGCAGAGTCCGGCGGTGGGCCAGCAGTGCGCAGGGAGTCGGCTGCGGGCCGGCGAGCCAGGTCCGGCGCGAGCTGGGAGGGGCCGGAGCGAACTGGGGCCGATGAGCGAGGGCCAGCAAGCTGGGGCCAGCACGAGGTGGAGCCGGTGAGCTAGGGCCGGCGAGCTAGGGCCAACGAGCTGGGGCCGGCGAGCTAGAGCCAGCGAGCTATGGGGCCACGCTGCGCGCGAAGGGCCAGCGGCGAGCTAGGGGCCAGCAGGCGAGCTAGGGGCCAATGGGCGTGCTAGGGGCCAGCGACGAACGAGGGGCCAGCGGCGAGCTAGGGGCCAGTGACGAGCTACGGGCCAGCGTGGCGAGCTGAGGGACAGCGCGACGAGCTAGGGGCCAGCTCGGCGAGCTGAGGGGCCAGCGTGGCGGGCTAGGAGCCAGCGCGGCAGGCTAGGGGCCAGTGCGGCACGGCGATGCGGCACGCGCGTCACGGCAGGGCGCACTATAGTAGGCTAGGGTGGAAGGGAGGGTGGGTGGGATCTACCTACTCTCATAACATGTTAGCGTAATGAAGTGAACTAGACAAGGGCATACAAGGGCTGTTATGCTTTGGTGTTGTACTCTCTACGAGCATGCATCTGTCTAGCCTATAACAACTAAATGATAAATTTTGAAAGTTTTACACGCTTTCTAAAATTGTGTATTGTGAAAGTGGAAACGTGGCCAGCACAACAAAGGTAGCGGCGCGCCGCTACTCACCCTCTTTTGCCTACAAAAGAGGGTCGTGAGTCGGCCTCACCCATGTTCTTCATTTTCAGTTTCTAGTTTGAGTTCCTAGCTCTCGTCCAACCTGGCGAAGACCCAATCCCTCCCCTGCTTCAAGGCTCCAGCCACACTACTCACCGACATTCTCCAGCGCAACCTCGCAAATATGGCGCCGACGAACACGCCTCCTAACCGAGAGGTTAACAAGCCATCTACACCCGCCGTCGCTCCGGAGCTCGGAAGTTCGCCCGGGGTAACCGACCGACACCAGAAACGCCCAGCCAAAAAT